AGTCCTCCTTCTGAGCCTAAGGTGGTGGGACTCCAATCCATAGACAGAGCTGTAGTCTTCATGTCAGAAGACAAGAGGCAAGCCAGGCGCCCTGTGTGGCAGTTCCTTAGGTTGGCCTCCCAAGAGAGGGGCCTGCCAAGTGTCCTGGGACGTGGCGGAGTGGAAGACATCTTCAGGCAGCTGGAACCAGCAGCGACTGGGGCGACAGTGAGTGGGGACGGAAAGAATGGAGCTGGAAAGTCTAAAGTAAGTTACTCAAGGAGCTGGGAAGCATCCCTGGGGCCTCTGCCCCAAGCACATTTCAGTATCTTGGTTTCAGACTTCAAATCCCAAGCACAAGGATGAATGGTTGTAGACAGTAACAGTTTCCTAATAACACACATCATGTCTGAGGTCCTCTTTGCTTACACAGAGATGGCAGGCAAAAGCCTGACCTTGAGATCTACACAGAGAAAGTTCACCAGACAGCCCAGATAGCAAGTGGGGCATCCGCAGTTTTAAAGTTTGATGCATAACGCCTTCTGGGCATGGGTTGAAGTTTTTTGTAAACAGGTAGAACAAACCTTCAGCAGAAAGCCAAAAAGGAGGGATTTGGAGTCAGGTGCACGCTTGGCTCTGCAACCTCGCGTAAGACATCACACGACTTCAAACCAGCACTCCTCTTTTGTGCAAAGCAATGCCCACGTCATGAGGTGGAGTAAAGACCAAGTGATAGCAGCTTGGCATGGGGGCACACAGCATAACTCCTAATGGGTGGAGCTTGTTGCCTGGCACCAGCTACCTGAGGGGAAGTGCTACTTCCCCCAGTTCCACTTCTACTTCTCTTTCGGGATACCCATCCCCCTTATGGCCAGTATTTCCCTATGCGACTGTGTGTGTGTGTGTGCGTGTGTGTATGCTGGATGGATGTGGAGGCAGGATGTTCATTCCCTGGGGAAGGCCCTGGTAAGGTAAAAGAATTTCCTTGCTGGTGGCCTGGCCCTGAGGCCTCACTTGTCCCGTTCTCTTTCCTTAGAAATGCCAGAGGTGGACAGTAAGCTGGTGGAGATGCTGGGCCAACGCCTTTTGCCCTGGATGGAGCAGCTCTCCCCAGAGCAGCTGAACCCCAGCATCTATGTGGGCCTGCGCCTCTCCAGTGTGCAGGCTGCGGCCAAGGAGTCCTTCTACCTGCACAGCCTCAAGGTCCACTACCAGCACAGCCTCCTGGGGTACTGCCAAACTCTCTCTTCTCCTTTCCCCACGTCCTGCTCCATGACCTAAGCCATAGATCTGGTTCCGGTCTGGGCCTGTCACTGCTTCATTGCGAGACCTGAGGCATTTTGTCTCCTCTTTTCTCCTCCCGGGGTTGGTTGGATTAGAGCAAAGATGTCAATCCAAGGCCCATGTGCTGCTAGTGTGCCCTCCTGTGCCTGGGCAGACATCACTAATCTATGACCACACTGTTTCACACTGAGCTCAGTTGACTCTGTGCTCCTTTCCCAGGGGCTGGTGTGAGGGGAGGCTTGTTCTGGGCGTCAGGGAAGGAGTTTGAGTGGGGTGAAGAAGTAGCTTTGGGGTACCCCCTGCTTGGCGCTAGGTGGCCTTGAACCAGGAGAGAAGAGAAGAGGGTGAAGCATGACCAAAGTGGCAGGGCAGGCGTAGGTCATTGAATGGGGGAGGCCTCAGAGTTTGTCCTTGACCTTCATTTTATGGCATATTTGTAGCTTATACCTTGCACCTTACATAGCTACTGTGTATGCTTTGGAAGGTTCTAGCTATGACATCTTCCACTTTGAGATGTTGGGTGCACCCCCAGGCTCACAGGGTGCCTCTTTCTCATGGCAGTGTTGTTAACTGGCCTCGTCCTAGGTCTGCCTCCAGTGACAGTGGTGACGACAGTGACTTCCCGGCCAAGCCCTCCATGGGCCAGCTGGCCCTCTACCTGCTTGCTCTCAGAGCCAACTGCGAGTTCATTAGGGGCCACAAAGGGGACAGGCTGGTCTCACAGCTCAAGGGGTTCCTGGAGGATGAGAAGAGGGCCATTGGTGAGGGGATGCCATCTGCGGGGCCAGGGAGCAGCTGGGGGGCTCATCGGCTGACAGTCTCTGGGGAAGTATTTACCATGCACCTGGCCTCGACTGCTCTGAGTGCCAACCTCAGGTGGCTAGTGCCGAGTCAGATTCACGTGGAGACCCTGCAAGAATCTAACACGTCAGAACTCGGGGTTTTCTTCCCAGGCCCTTCCTGCACTTCCTTTCTGCCTGTCTCATTATCCACCCAGAGGTTCCAGCCTGCCCCAGGTGCCTTGATCCATCCTTTCCTGAATCTCCCATATGCCCTCTGGCTGCTCAATGACCTGTGTAGCCATGCTTATACTGGACTTCTGCAACAACTGCACAATTCTTTACTTGCCCCTCTGTTTCCTTTGTGGCCTCCCTGCACAACAGCCAGAGCGAACATTTTAAATACGTATCTATTCTTGTTAGCCTCCACTTAAGCCCCACATGGGCTCCTTATGGCTCCTTTCACAGCCTGCAAGCCTTTGTTTACGCTCCAGGCTCTGCTCACCGCTCTCCCATCGCTCCCTGGGCTCCTCTCCCATTCCACCAGCCTTCTCCCAGCTGCGAACCAGGCTCCTTCCTCCACAGGGTGTTGTACGTGTTCCCTTCGCCTGCACTGGCGCCCCCACCCCTTGCTCGCTCCTGCTCCATCCTTAGCTCTCCCCTCCCCTCCTGAGGGTCCCTTCCGTAGGCAATCCTGCTCTGACTCCTCAGCTAGTCAGATCCCTTTGGTATGTGATCCCATGGGCCATATCCACATCTCATTGTAACTGTGTTCTCACGAGTGTGGATTGTCTTACTGTCAGAGGCAGTGCCTATCCTGTCCTCTCTGGCTCAGCCCTGACACTTGGTGGGGCCTCATGAAGGTGGGCTGAGGTAGAGAAGGCATAAAGACTCCCACGACCCAGAAGAGGGTGTTGGGAAGTGCAGGCAGTGAGGACCTGTGTGCTGACAGGCAGGGAGCTAGGCGGAGGGCAGAGAGGGGAAACTCTCAGACCCAGTGTGACCCTGTGATTTTTCTCCCTCCCAGTACACAAGGAGCACCCCAACACCAGCTACTACCAGTATGGCCTGGCCATCCTGGCCCTGTGTGTCCACCAGAAGCGAGTCCATAACAGTGTGGTGGGCAAGCTTCTACACATGGTGGAACATGACCAGGCCCACCTCTCTGTGGGTGAGTGGCTGACCCTGGGGCCAGGCGGGCACTCCCCACCCTCCCCCATCCCCAACCATAGGTCCCTATACCCTGCCTGCCCCCTTCCTCCTTGGGACCTCTCCTCATCAAGGAGAAAAATGGCCCATTGTGGGCTGGAGTGTGGTACAGCAGCTAAGAGCCAACTTGAGAGCTGGGCCAAGATCCTGACCAAGTCATCCCACACTCATTGGATGACTCAGGCAAGTCAGGGGGTATTTCTGACTCAGCCAAGCCAGTCAAATAACCTCCCAGCAGTGTCTTGATTAAGTACAGGGTGAGGCATTGGTAGTTCAGTGGTAGATTTCTTGCCTTTCATGTGGAACACATGGGTTCAATTCCTGGACAGTGTACTTCCTGTGTAGACCAACCTGTCTATCAGTGGAGGCCTGTGTGTTGTTACAAGGCTGAACAGGATTCAGCAAGGCTTCCAGACTAAGACAGACTAGGAAGAGAGGATCTACTTCTGTAAATCAGCCAAGCAAAATCCTATGGATCACAATGATCCAACCTGCACCTGATCATGGGGTTAGCACAGGACTGGGCAGCTTTTTGCTGTTGTGCACGGGTCTCTGTGAGTCAGGGGCCAATTTGACAGCAGCCAACAATAGCAACATAAAGTAGAGGACTTAAAACTGTGTCTGGCATGGGAAAAGCTCTAGGTACACAGTGACAATCTCATCATTATTTGAGTCGGGAAGCCTGAGGCCTAGATTTTGCATCTGCTTCTTAATTGTGTGACCTTGGGCCTTCATTTCTGTTTCTTATCATTGTGATTCAAGGCGTCTCCTAGGCCCACCATTCTGTTGAGTGAGTGTGGACTTCAGATAGGATGAGGGAGGACAGAGTAGATCAGAGGCAGGTAGGTGCCCAGAGAACAAGGTACCAAGGTTTCTTCCATTAGGAAGCTTGTTCTTCATCATAGATGTGTAAAAACCACCATGGACACATTAAAATACTCTTGTCTGTGAGTTTGTCATACAATGGTGGCTTGCATGTTGCTGTGAGGCTGGAGGCTATGCCACTGGTATTTCAAATACCAGCAGAATCATTCATGGTGGACAGACAAAAAAAGTCAAGGGAGCTTCCAGACTAAGACAGACTGGGAAGAAGGATGGGGCCATGTACTTCTGGAAAAGTTGGCCATTGAAAACCTTATGAATAGCAGTGAAAAGACTCTGGAGGGCTTTAAGAACCCCAGTGGATAGGCAGCACCCTGTACCAGTTCACTCAGACCATGTCGGGTTAGACCCAGGCATCAGTCAGTTATAAAACTCTCCAGGTGATTCCAGTGTGCAACCAGATTTGAGAACTAGTGGTGTAGGATAAAGCATGGATTCAAACCAGTTCCTCCTGGTTCAGTCATGGCCAACAAAGCAAAACCAAACAACAGACACAAATTTGTAAAATGTGAGTGAACCAGAAAGGTAGAACAGGAAAAATTACTGGTTGACACCCTGCTAGAAACTTAACCTCCCTCTTAGAAAACAAGGCAGCACGTGTGTTGCAAAAAAAAAAAAAAAAAACCCTCACTGCTGTCAAGTTGAGTCGACTCATAGTGACCTTTCCTTGGGTTTCTGAGATGGTATCTCTACAAAAGTAGATTGCCCGATCTTCTTTCTGAGGAGTGGCTGGTGGGTTTGAACCACCAGCCTTCTGGTTAGCAGTCAGATGCCTTAGGCACTATGCTACCAGAGCTCCCATTAGCCAAATATCCTGATAGGCAGAGTAACCGTGGTGTCTGTTCAAAGATGGTGGTCAGTCCTGGCAATAATCCAATCTCCCACATGAGGCTCCTGAAAGGGCTCACTATGCTTTTTCCAAGTCTTCCATTCCAGGGCTTTGAACTGTAATTTTTCCCATTCCTGTTATCATTCTGTTTTACCTAGAATTTTAAAAAGTTGGGTCTGTTTTATCAGCTCTACCTGAACCAATTCAGAGCCCTGGGATAATGTCCTCTTGAGCCTCTCCCTAACCTCTAACTCCCAAGCAGTAGGCAGTGGTAGGGTGACCAACCATCTCAATTAGCTCAGAATCGAGGAGTTTCGCAGAACACAGGATGTTCCGTGCCCAAACTTGGAAAGTATCGGGCAAACTGGGTTGAGATGGCCACCCTACCTGGTAGAAGATTTCTAAAATACTCATCCGACCAAGCTGCCCCTTTCTTCAAACGCTGTATTGCCCCAAAGGCCCTGCCTGGCTTGGCCCCACTTGGTTCCTGGCTGATCACATGCCCTGTTCCTGCAGACACAGCAGCCATGGCAGGCTTGGCCTTCACCTGTCTAAAACGCTCCAACTTCAACCCCGAGAAGAAAGAGCAGGTCACGCAGGCCATCAGGATGGTGCGGGAGAAGGTCCTGAGGGCTCAGACACCCGAGGGCTTCTTCGGGAATATCTACAGCACTCCACTGGCGCTGCAGGTAGGAAAGAGGCCTTGGAGCCCTGGTCTATCCTGGGGTGGAGATGTGGGTTGTATCACTGAGGGGTGGATTGGCCAGAGGTTGGAAGATCCCATTCCCCGCTGCCTGCTGGCCAGCTCCTTCCTTCTCTTCCCCACTCTGTTACAGTGGCTGATGACCTCCTCCATGCACGGGAGGAGGCTGGGTACAGCGTGCCACAAGGCAGGGGCTGCGCTGCTGGCCAGTCTCCAGGAAGGGGCCTTCGAGAATGCTCTCATGATTTCCCAACTGCTGCCCACCCTGAACCACAAGAGCTACGTGGACCTTATCTCCCCAGATTGCCAGGCACCAAGAGGTAGCAGAACTTTTCATGAAAACCTAGCTCTTCTCAGCCTGCAGAGCAGTCATTGAAGTCAGCCATCCCAGTGATGGCAGGTTGCTTGGTTCTGATTTACTGAGTCAATAGCGGTTTGTGGGCGTGCAAGGATGCACTGGGAGTCAAGACACTTAACTTCTAGAAGCTCACAGTGTGGGGAGGGACATGGAGGGCTCTTAGCAGGTCCAGACCACGAATCCCCAGCCCCTTTTGTGGTACCCAGGACAGAAGTGGTTGACTGAATGAATGAAGTAAGGCAGGAATGGGGCATGCCTAGGTGCTTAGTGCTGCTGTAACACAGATACCGTAAGTGGGTGACTTTAAAGAATAAGAATTTATTGTCTCACAGTTATGGAAACTAGAACTCCAAAGCAGAACATTGGCTCTAGGGGAGTCCTTCCTTGTTGGTAACCCCAAAAATCCTTTGGTATTCCTTGGCATCTGCCTTCCCCCGTGTGTGTGTGTGTGTGTGTGTGTATCTGTATCTATTGCGCTCTTTCGATTTTTTTAAAAAATTTATTGTGATTTGGGTGAAAGTTTACAGAGCAAATTCATTTTCCATACAGTAGTTAACACACATTTTGTTTCATGACATTGACTGCAATTCCCCACAATGTAATAGCTCTCTTCTAACTTCCTCCCTGTAGTTACCTCTTCCCTGTGTCCCATGCCCTCCTGCCCCTGTCTGCTCTTTTTATAAGACACCACTCAAAAGTGATTAGGTTTAGAATCCACTCTATACTGATATAATCTCATTAACATAACAAAGAAAACCCCTATTTCCAAACATGGTCATTTAATTGTTTTCCTTCCATATATAAACCTTTTCTTGACTTTTTACAATAGTGAACTAATACAGTATTAATCCTTCTGTGATTGACTTATTTCACTCAGTATAATGTCCACATCAGAGCTCCTAATGTCTTCCAAGTTCATCCACGTTCAACCATGGTCATATTTGCAGGTACAGAGGTTAGGACTTCTACATTTCTTTCGATGGGACAAAAGTCAATCCGTGATAGGGAGAGACGTATTTTGTGAACTCTCATTCGACATGATGAGCCCCAATAAACAGCAGGAATCATGGCTTCATCTGTAAGGGGGATTTGAGGAGGCAAGTGGGATTTTCCAGTGGAGAAGAGAGAAGGAAGACCAGAGCAGGGAGAAGTAGGAAGAGCCAAGACTCAAGGTGTACAAGACTGGAATTTGGGAGGAAGAATCTTGCTAAAGTGTGGGGTCTGGGAGAATGAGTGTGTGGCAGGCAAAAGAATGAAAAGGCTGGAGGACTCTCGGAAGCAACAGGGGAGTGATATGAACAAATGCAGTTCTAGAAAGAGACCTCTGGGGGACTACATGGCAATAGATGGGAGGAGGGGCCTGGAGGAAGGGAAATCAGTGAGGGGCTGGAACTTGGAATGGGGTGTGATGTGGGGGCTGAGGAGCAGAGCAGGCTGGGTTAGCAGCCAGGTTTCGGGCTATGGAGGTGGTGGTGGTGACTGAGATGGAGACACTGGAAAGGAGAAGGTCTTCATTGGGCACTGTGTCTTTGAGGGAAGAAAGAAAGACTAACTTCTAGTCCCAGCCTCATACCAGCTACCTCTTTGTCTCTCCCTGACACAGCCACGTTGGAACAAGATACTGAGACCCTTCCACAGACTCAAGTCCCAGAGGTCATCAGGGTCACGCTGAAGGTCTCTAGCATTGAGCCACCATACCAGGAATCCATCCCTGTCCCTGCTGGGTCCTCCTTAGAGGATGTCCTAAAGAAGGCCCAGAAGCTGGGAAGATTCACGTGAGACACTCACCCCCACCCCTCACCCCACCTGACCCTGTATCTCTCAAAATGTCAGGGGAGGGACAGGGGATGGAGGAGAGGCTTCCCTTGGGAGAGGTACTAGGCCGAGTTCTCCACTCCTGACAAGCCCCACATGCAGAGGAACTAGGAAGCCTTGGGCCAGCACTGTCACTGAAGGAGCAGGCCCAGGAGAACCAGCTGCTGTGCTGGAATCTCACTTCTGCTGTTCTCCAACTCAGGACCCAGAACAAGTTATTTAACTCCAATTGTGTTCTCACAGGGCCAATGTGGGAGTCTAGGATGTACATGGGTATCTATATGTGTGGATATATATGTGTTAATATATTCATATATGTGTGGCTATGCATGTTGTTGTTGTTGTTGTTGTCGTGTGCCATTGAGTCGGACCCGACTCATAGCAACCCCTCCTTGGGTTTCTGAGGCAGTATCACTATGGAAGTAGATTGCTCCATCTTCCTTCTGAGGAGTGGCTGGTGGGTTTGAACCTCCGGCCTTCTGGTTAGCAGTCAAGTGCCTTAGCCACTATGCTACCAGAGCTCCCCGTGGTTATGCATATATGTATGTATATAGATATATATGGATATACCAGCATTGGATGACATAATAAGCAAGGTGAGCACTGGCTTCCTTGTGTTTACTTACTAATCTATGTTGTTGTTGTTGTTGTTATGTGCCGTTGAGTCAGCCCGACTCATAGCGACCCCTCCTTGGGTTTCCAAGGCGGTATCACTACAGAAGTAGATTGCCCAACCTTCCTTCCGAGGAGGGGCTGGTGGGTTTGAATTGCCAGCCTTCTGGTTAGCAGTCAAGTGCCTTAGGCACTATGCCACCAGAGCTCCCTACTAATCTATAGTGAACAATTTTTTTCACCACATCAAAGATTCTGCTTCTAGGTCTATCTCTCTCCCAACCTCATAGCACCTTCCTGCAGAATCAAAGCCTCTTTTCAAATTTATAGTCTCTGACAGGGACAGGAGTAACCAGTAACCAAGGTAAGCACAGACTTACTTGTGCTTACTTACAAACCTGTGGGGAAGAGTTTCACATGCTTTTCACATCTTTGATGAAACCCATGTGAAATGGTTTGCTGCAGATGAATAAGTGTAAAAATGGCATGGTGGAGGCGTCTGACTTCCTTGTCTAACTTCAGGAGAGGGAGAGAGAAAATTAAGATCAACAGTCCAAGGCTGACTCCTATGAGGCAGAGGTCAGACGTATCTCCTCTCTCCAACCTTTTCACTGGTTCTGACACTAATCGTTCCTCCCACAGCGCTCTCTACTTCTCTGCTGGGTTCAATACTCCACTGCAATGGCCAGAGAACTCGCAGATCACACTCACAGTTACGGGGTTTATTAGGCAGTAACAAGTTACAGTTCAAGTTCCAGAATGTTCAGGATACAATTCTTCAATCAGGACAGCCTCTTAGGTATGCCTCACTCTGGCCCTCGACCCCTCAGCCTGGCTTTTGCCCTATTTGGGGAAGTGTTATAAAGCTTTCTAGCTTTACCAGTAAGCGCCCAGAGGCACCCTATTCTGCCAGTAATCCTCGGTCTGAAGGCACTCAGCTCTCTAGCTCAGTGCATTGCAGAGCTTACCTCCACCAAGCGCCCAGAGGCACCCCACTTAGCTAGTAAGTTCAGTATGAAGGGCCATGAGTTGGCACACTCCCCACTTTGTCTCCTACCAGTCTCCTACTTCTGCTGCCTCTGCTGCTGCCATTTCTCTGCCATTGCTTCTCACCATCTTTGGTGTTCCAGCTCTCTCTCTCCGTCTCCTGGTTCTAGGAGGCTCCCAGCACAGAGACCCTGGGTCTAGAGGACATGCTCCACCCCGGCTCTTCTTTCCTGATGGTTGAGGTCTCTTCTGTCTGCCTCTGGGATGGCTCATTTTAAGCCTAGTGGGATGGCAAAACTGACCAATCCCCTTGTTAGGGCTCCATATACCTTATTTGGTTGTTCCTATCACCACAAAGGTGTCATACACATCATGTACATTATTAGCAAGCTATCCAATCCCCTTTGTGGGCCACAAGCATCTCATTTGCATAGTCTCACCCAATCATTTGATGGGAGTTATAAGACCATAGAGAGTGTTCTGGTTACCTAGTGCCACTCTGACAAGAATAAACCACAAATGGGATGGCCTTAACAAACAGGAGTTTATTCTTACAATTTGGAGGCTTTAAGTCCAAGTTCAAAGTGCCAGGCTCTAGGGGCTGGGT